CTTTCTTCCATAGTCTTTGGAATAGTAATTTTAGTTTTGTTGAAAGCGGTGTTAACCAGCCGAGTGGATCAAACAATTTAGATATTTCTGATAGTAAATTCCGTTTGGTAAGTTTTGTTGTAGACTTCAAGAAGTTGCATTTAAAGGTAAAGTGATCTTCTTTCGGATTCCAACGTAAGCCTAATGTTTTCGAAGTGTCATCCGCCTTAAAGTAAAAAATTGTTTTATCGTTACATTCTTGTGTTTGTTCGAGAAGTTGATGTTTGTTTGATGACCATTTTCTGAGATTAAATCCGCCCGACTTCAAGAGCTCCTTTAAGTCTGATATCAATTTTTTACCTTTCTCCATAGAATAGCACCCGTGGAGAAGGTCGTCCATGTAAAAGGATCCTTCTAAAACTGTTGCTGCTTCCGGATATTTGTCTCTTCATCTAATTCCAGTTGCTTTAACGTCATCATTGCTAGAAAGGGTGCTGCTTTTGTTCCGTAAGTGACTGTTGTTAGTTGGAATGACTGTATCGGTTGTTTTGGTGACTGTCTCCATACGGTTTTCTGAAGTTGTTGATCATCGCTATTCATTAAAATTTGTCGATACATTTTCTCAATGTCAGCGGTAAATGCATACGGAAACTGTCTCCATTGTAATAAGAGAACCTGTAAATTCTTTTGTAGATTAGGTCCTTTATGCATAATGTCATTTAAACTCCATTTAGAAGATGTTGAAGCTGACCCATTGAACACGACTCTTAAGCTTGATGATGAGGATTCTTCACGTAAAATACCGTGATGAGGCATATAGCATTCTTGTTTTATGTTTTTGTTGTTTTCTGGGATCACATGTCCTAATTTAGCATATTCGTACATAAATGTTTTGTATTTTAGTGCCAAATCCTTCTGTTTATTAACACGTTCGCTGCGGCACCAATTTTTGCAAACTTTCCGTTCCTGCGGCACGAGGTATTATCGGCCCGCACCGTGACTAGACGTTAGGGCGACACGCGGTCTATTAGACCCCACCTCCTTTAACAGACTAAATTCCATTTTCTGGCGCGAAATCAAAGATAAATGAAAATTTTGGTCCTTATCGATATAGGCAATGAATTGATGAACCCTAATGTACCGTCGCCCCGGGATCTGATAGCTAGTTTATTAATTATTGGCAAAACAAAATATGGGATCTTATACACCTCGTAACGCACTGAAATAGGGTAATTTTTCGCTAAGATTAGTGATGAGAAAAATAATATCGACTCAACGACATTTATCTATTTTTGTGTAAAAGTCTTAATGCGGTTCACAGAATAGAAAAAAAAGAAAACCAGAAGTAGAAAAGAAACTATCCTATTTATTCTGCCTCGGGCTTTAAAAACACACTTATTAGAACTTGAATTAACATACAAAAATTCAGTAACAATATACTTTTTTATAAAAAATCTCAATATATATTTTGT